TAGCTGATCTCCCGCTACCTGAAGTAGTCTCAGCTGCTACTTCTCCGCCATCTTGACTCCTCCTCCAGCATTCGACTCTTGATCTCAGCTTGGGTCTTGATCTCAGGATAAAGTTCAAGCCTCGTGTTGGGCTCCATGCTAGATGTGGAGCCTACTTTAAAAAAAAAAAAAAAGTACACTTTCGATGAGCATTAAGGAATGTATAGAATTTTTGAATCACTTTATGACTTTATTATATATCCAAAACTAATATAACACCCTATGTTAATTATATTTGAATAAAAAATTAAAATGGAAAGAAAACATGAGACACTTAGGAGCTTCTAATCCTGCCCTCCTGGAAAGCTGCTGCCATTATAAGAAGACAGAGCTCATCTACTAGAGACATGAAGCCCTGCCAACAGCAGCACCAAGGACCAGACAAGCGAGCAAGCAGTCCTGCTCAAGGCACAGATGACTGCAGAGACCATCAGAAGAACCATTTAGCCCAGACTTACAGGGTCATGAACCAGGATAAAATGGTTGTCGCTTTAAGCCACTATATTTCAGGGAGGTGATAGATAACTGAAAGAGTAACTTTGCAGATCACACAATGTGGCTGAAGCCATCTTTTACTTCAAATTGTTTGGCTGCAATATTCATCGTATTTCCTTTAGAATACCCCACAGAATCCTGTGGTATGGATGGACTACTAGTTATTAATTAGTAATCTGAGACTGGTTCTACAAATTTTAGAAAGCCAACCCTAGAACCAAAACTAAAGAAATTTAATTTGATAATGATCTAATTAATGAAAATTAATTAAATTTAATTTAATTAATGAAATTTAACGAAATTCAGTCCTGTACTGAATATCAGAAAGCTAAATCCTAGTCCATTTTGAAATAAGACAGTTCTGTGACATTTGGTAATTTCTTGGTGGTCTCTGAGCTTCTGCAGTGCCATCTGTAAAATGAGAGAATTGATTTTTTGTGTGATCTCTCAGGTTTTGAACTAATCTCCTGCTTGGCTGCTAAAAAAACAGTTTCCAGTTTTAGTGTGTGACTTGTCTATTCCTTTCCAAATTATGTGTTCGTCCTCCCCCCAGGGAACTACTGAAAGCCAAAGAAACAATCCCAACTACTTCTCACTTAAAAAAGAAAAAAAATATCAATTTTAATTTTGAGGACAGAATGTTAATATGCATACCATCCTCTTCACAGGGGAAAATAAGGTCCTGAATGTGGGTTTGGTAGACTGTTTTCTCCACAGATCCATTTTAGGGCCTTATGGATCCAACTTCCAGGTTTTGACATTTTCCTTGCCCCACTTTACATTTCCTCTTTCCTGATCCTCTGGTATTATACTCCCTAATAAAATAGTTGTACACAAGTCCTAGCACTGAGATCGAACTTCTGGGGAATCCAAGTGACCAAGTTCCCCTGAAAGCAGATACTGATACTGAGACTTGAGTGTCGTAGTTTAGCTTGGGAAGAATCATAGAAGAGCGAGTGAGGGAATGGGGGAATGTGGGGTAGGGAAGAGAAAAACACTAATAAAATCTATGTAATAAATGTGCTACCACTATAAGTAACTAGAGATTAATCTTGCTATGGAGCTCTGAGAAATCTTGTAAAATGTTCCTCAGAATTGTCTCACTGAGACTTTCATTTCCAGCCATATCAGAATCAAAGGGAACAGTCCTCACCTCCTGCCATAAACAACTAGAAAACTCGATAGAAGACACTGAACAACGGCTTTTAGACATTGGAATAACAAGCAGCAGAAGACTAGGATCCTGAGAAAGGGAAACAAAGGATATCAGGTTCATGATCCCCCTGGTTTTTTTTGCTGGAGCAAATTGCACAGGGAGGGAGATCCCAAGCAGAACTCAGCAATTCTTTGCTGAGTTGAGGAGACAGAGATTTGAATTCAGGGAAACTGAGATGAGTACAAGTTATGGAGTAGGGTTGTAGAAAGGAGAGATCCATGGAGGAAACTAGAGCTCTGGAAATCTGCATGAGGTTCCACTGGGTCTCTCTGATCAACACTAAGTCTCATGTATATGGTCAGGCAGAGAGTGGCCAGAAATCTGTGAGCTGAGCCACTCTTTGACCACATGGAATGGGGAGATATTTGAGGTTGGACTTGTTAGAGTGGAGGGATATTGTAAGTACTCAGGGCATTCAGCAGAGACACAGAAGGAGCATGATTTTGTAGTACAGCTAAACAAACTTTGGGGCAAAGAACTCTCTCTAGATCATCTTCATCAAGCTTTCAAACAAGCCTACAAAAGATCAAGTTGATTCTCTGGTAACTTAACAGCCTGCCACAACAGAGGCCAAGATTCTAAAGAAAAAAAAAAAAATCTTAACATGCAACAACATAAGATTCAAAATTTCCTGAATCCAATAAAAAATGCTACACATGCCAGGTTGAAAACCATGATCTGTAACGGGATGGGGGGATGGGGTTCAGTCAATAGAAATAAAAATGACAGATTGATAGAATTAGTAGACAAGGATTTTAAACTAGCCATTATAAACATGCTCAAGGATAATTTTTTAAAGATTTATCTATTTATTTTTATAGAAAGAGAGAAAGAGAGTTTGGTGGGGGGTCAGGAAAGCGAGAGAGAATCTCAAACTGACTCTTCACTGAGTGCAGAGCCCAACAGGGACTGAATCCCATGACCTTGAGATTGAAATCAAGAGTTGGATGCTTAACCAACTGTGTCATCCTGGCACCCAATATGCTCAAGGATTTAAGAAAAGGATTTAAGGATTTAAGAGAAAGGAGGATTTAGGAGAAAATGTGAACATAATGAAGAGAGAGGTGGAAAGCATGTATAAAATAAATATATTTATAAATAAATTATTTAGCAAAGCAATGAAATGAGAGTCCTTGTTAAGGTAGCTATAAGAATGTAAATGTTTTTGAGGAGATAGAGGTAGAAAGGAATCCTCATAAAACATACACACACACACATGCATGCATACACATACACTTACAATGTAACTTCTGGAATTGTCCAGTCAAGGGACTGGAGAATAGAATATTCATCCACTAACTCCTGCCCCTCAATGAGACTGGACTCTGAAGGCAGTAAATCAAAGGCCATCCTAAAATAAAATAAAATAAAATAAAAAATCAGAGGCCATCTTGTCTCTGAACTAAGCAAACTCTCTCTCTCTCATTCCCGCCTCCCCAAACCCAAATGGAGAGAACCCTCAGGAAGTGGATCAGAAGGATAGGGGAGCTTGAGTTGGGAAACTGTCAGCAAGTACAGATGCTGCCCATTGCGACTGTGGAAGTCATTGGTAAGTGAAGGAAATATGGAGTGGGGCATCAATGGTGAAGGTAGGATAAGATCTTCCTCTTCCTATTTGTGTGGGTAGTCAGAAAAAGAAAGAGAAACAGTATCACCTGTTATTCTGGATTGTCCATAATACTATTGAGGTTTGCTACGTCGCCATCCCCCAATGTCTTTCCAGTCATGTCTGGAAGTCCTGAGAGGATGTCTCAATAGTATTCAAAAGGACTCATAATGACATAGTAGGATCAGCCATATTTCCTCCTTTCTGGGTTTAGCGCCTTTGGCAACATTGTTCAAGAAACTTCAGTCCATGTCGCCACTGCTATTTTCTGCTGATGACCTTTGGAAGCTGTGCTGTATCACCCCATATCCTTTCCCTACTTCACTTCATGACCACCACCTCACATACCCTTGTGTCCCATTTCCTGCCCTAACACTCTCAGTGGGAGACTGCTTGTACTTGCAAAGTCTCAGGGCATTATGGTGTGAAAAGTATAGAGCATATCCACTTGACCCAGGACAAGACAGGATCCAGGACAGACACTAAGGTGATGTTCATGGAATTGGCCTGAAGACCAATGGCAGATTTCTGGAGCCACCGATCATGTTTAATCCCTGAAAAAACTTCAGAAAGTGTATTATGTTATTATCTCCATTCTATTATAGGGGTAACAAGGCTGGGTAAAGTCAAGAAATGTACCCAAGAGCACATGGTCAAGCAATAGAGCTGGAATTTATCCAAAGTCTATCTGATTCTTTGAAAACTACGTCCTTAACCACCATAGGAAGAGAATATCTCTTTTCTCCTTTCTATGCTGCATGTTCCTTATTGACAAGAAAGAGCTCAGTGGCCAGTACGACAAGGTCAAGCCAATGTTTGAATATAAGGGCTGGTCTTATATGTGTGTGAGGTGTGGCCAGTACAAGCTCAAGCCAATGTTTGAATATAAAGGCTGGTCTTATATGTGTGTGAGATGTGAGGTGTGAGGGCTTTATTGAAGCCTTCGGGGCTCCCCTTATAGATAATTTCCGATGTCCCTTCACTTGGGCTTAGGGAAGGCTAGCATTGGTGGAGCTTCTAGAATGGCTGACATTTATTTACTTCTGCACCATTCACAAATTTTCTTCCTTCTGATCTCATCGATACCATTGGAGTTATAAAGAGGTGACCATTTTTAACTTCATGAAAAAAGCTCACAGAGGTTGTTTCTTGCTACTTGAAGTCCTTATTTACCCAGCTGCTTGGCAAACTAGAACCTGATCTCAGGTGTTGAGGGGACCAGCCCTGTTTTCTTGCCTCTGCTGAAGTAAGGCTCAGCATTTCCTGAATAAGTCTCCACTCAGGGACAAGCACACTCTGCACATCCACAAATATTCTTCCTCTTCAGGTCTGGAGTGTGATTTCAGATTATAGGGATCATTCCTCTCTTTACATATAAATTTTGTTTCTGTCTTGGAATACCGGAGTGTTAGTATCTTCCAGGGGCAGTTTTGAATACCAAGACCAAAGGACTTTCTTAGGCTGGACAATCTATTAGGTTCTGTAAAAATTGCACTAAGAAGGATGGGAACTAAGGCACTCAAATCTCAAAACTGTTCTATTTGGAAAATTGGTATAAAGAATTGGAATAACATTAAACTCAGTGGTGTTACTTATAAATGAAGGTTAGAAAATTGAACCCCAAAGTCAGATCTTTTCATAGGTGAAGTACTCAACCATTCACTCTTTGTGCTTCTATGGGTGACACAAATTATTTGAGTTTTGAAGGAAAAAATCCACTTTACCACCATTTCACGGCCAGTTTCACTAACTTGTCAATAATTGCTTGAAAAATCATTTAGCAAAAGCAGTAAGAGTCCTTGTTAAGAGTGCTACAAGAATGTAAATGCTTTTGAGGAGAGAAGATTAAGTAGTAGAGTAGAAAGGAGCTCCTTATTAAAAAACAAAAAACAATAGGAGCACCTGGGTGGCTCAGTGGATAAGCATCTCCCTTTAGCTCAGGTCATGATCCCAGGGTCTTCAAATAAAGCTTTGAGAGCATGGCCTCAGGCTCCCTGTTCAGCAGGAAGCCTGCTTCTCCCTCTCCCTCTCCTCTTGCTTGTGTTCCCTCTCTGTCTCACTGTCTCTCTAAACAACAACAACAACAACAAAAGCCGGTAATATATACCAGTGACTCACACTGAAGGGCAAGGGAAGCCCACGTTTTGAAAAAGCACATTCTTGCTACGTGAAATTCAAGGTGAGTGATATCTACCATTGGATAAAGTTAAGCCTAAATTATAGTTCCGTTTCTGTGTAGCATATTGAATGCCCAGGAGGAAAAAAAAATTTTTTTAAGATTTATTTATTTGACAGACAGAGATCACAAGTAGGCAGAGAGGCAGGCAGAGAGAGAGAGAGAGGAGGAAGCAGGCTCCCCGTGGAGCAGAGAGCCTGATGTGGGGGGCTCCATCCAAGGACCCTGGGATCATGACCTGAGCCGAAGGCAGAGGCTTAACCCACTGAGCCACCCAGGTGCCCCAGGAAAAATTTTTTTTAAAGGTTGAAAAATATTGGTGTAAATCATTAGCTTATCCAGTAAAGATAGCCTTTTCCCCCTAAATGAAACAAGCATTTTTTTTTTACTTTGAAATACTTTATTTTCAAGTTCTTTTGCAAAAACAGCAAGTAGTATTTGAACTTCTCTGTTAAAAGACATAGAAAAAAATGTATCATTAAGACTAAACAAGGCACTATGCCTTACAAGAAAGACATAAAATGTCCAAAGGATATTTAGAACATTGTAGTTCCTAAAGCTTCAACATGAGAAATGTTGACCACATACTGTGAAATTATTTCAATAAATAATAGCTGACATTCTTTTAAACAATTACAAAAGTAGATTTACACATATATTCCCCAAATTGACAATAAACTTGCCTCTATTTGCTCTCTCCCCAGCCTCCGTCACAGTGGCTGGCATTCCGTGGGCCCATCAGAAGTATTAATTTAATGATTGGAGGATATTTGCAAGCCTTTTACCTTCAAATTAAATAAGAATCAAGGTCGAGCTAAATTGGGTTTAACATAAAATAAATAAAAATAGCGGTACAGTACACAAATAGATTCAATTACATCCTAATTATTTTATATGTAAAATATTAACATGGAAATCTTTTAAAACCAACCAACCAATAAATAAATAAATAGGAGAACTCTCCTAGGAGATGCTCAAACATATTAAGCCCAGTTCAGGTGGAACTGGGAGCGGATGATTCCACTTTCCCTCTTGGATTCCTGTAAGGGCGGGGCCTGATCCGGGTATAGCCACCAATCAGCTTCCTCCTTCCTCTGGTCAGTTGGAGCTGCCCAATAACGAGAGAAATGTCATCCTTTGTAGCTGCTAAGGGAAGATACCACCAGCGCAGCCCTCTTCTCCTGTCCTGACCCTGAGGTTCCAGAGTTTTCTAAATCTAGTCTCCCCAGCCTGGCATCCAAAGGCTATTCCCTACGCTGTGCAGCAGAGACCTCTAAGTTCTTGGAACTTTTATTTAGGAATGCAGGTGGGGGGCTGTGGGGCCTAACTGAAGCTTTAGATCATCATCATCGTAATAATAGTAATTGTCCTTGAGTCACATGGCTAATAGGTGGTAGAATCCAGATTTGTTCCCAGTGCGGCGTCACTACAAAGTGTCTGCTCTTCACCTTTAAGCTTTAGGGCCTATGGTGCAGAAAAACCAAGAGTTCTGCTTTTCAGATGTGAAGCCTAGAAGGAATTGGGGGGGGGGGGGGGGGAGAGGAATAGGCCTGGGTTTTTCAACAGGTGGAAACTTTTTAATACAACTAACACCAATCAGAATTTAATGAAAGCAGGTTTATGCACACTCATCTGCATGGGGACTCAGGGCACCGGAAATATCCTTCTGGCACCAGAGCAAATGAATGATCTTACTAGCAAATTCCACTGTGAAATAACGATTTTCAGTCCTTCAGCTAAACCCTTCATAAAAAACTCCCGCATTTGCCAGGAGTGGTGACCTATGGGTCTCGTCCCACGTGTGAGTAAAAGGCACAACTCACTTGTTCAGCATCTTGTTGATGAGTTTCTTGACCAGGGGGGCTTCGGGGTTGAGACAAACCTCCTGCCCATTCTTGAGAGTGGCTCTGCGGAGAGAAGGCAGAGTCCGCGTTAGCGGGGGTGCGGCCGGGCGGGCGCAGCGGGGCAGGGGGGCGGCCGGGGCTCAGCGGCGCGGGGGGTCACCTACATGACTTCCGTCTGCTCGCAGTGGGGGCCCGAGGGCGTCACCACGACGTTCTGGATATTCTTGAGGTGAATCCCCTGCACGGTCTGCAGGCACTGGCAGCGCAGCTCGGCGGCCACGGGCGCCCCTGCGGGGAGAACGCACGGGGTGAGCGCGCCGTCCCGGGAGGGCGACCCCCGACCCCCGCCCCCCGACCCGCCCGGGGGCTGCGGCCGCCGAGTGTCACCTGCGGCGCGGCGGCCGGCGGGGAGCAGCAGCAGCAGCAGCAGCGCGGCGCCGAGGAGCCGGAGAGCGCGGGGGGCGGCGGCGGCGCGGGCCATGGGGCTCAGCTGGGAGAGTCGGGGCGGCGGTGCGGGCGGCTGCAGAGCGGGAGCGAGCGCCGGCCGAGCGGACTCTGTGGCTCCCGGAGTCGGGAGAACCGCTTTTATCCCCGGTGGGCGCGGGGAAGTGAGCAAGCCCGGGGCCAGGGAAATTCCCGGCAGCGCAGGTCGCTCCGGGGTCGGAAAGGTCGTGGCGGCCCCGCCCCGGGGCGGAGGGAGACCCGCCCGGCCACCCGCCTGCCCGGCCTCCCGCGTGTCCCCGCGAGTCGGGGACCTTCTCCTCCCTCCGGAATCCCCAAAGGGGGCGTGAGTGGCCGTCGCGCTGCCGCCGCCGCCCGCAGGGGGCACCGTGAGCGCCCACTGGTGCCCGGTCGCCGGGCGGGAGAGGATCTCGGCGCCCCGGACAAGGGCTGCACCACTGCGTTAGAGAGAGAGTTCTACCTCCTTAGTTATCAGTTTCGGGGGAATTAAGGACAGTGAGGGAGCGAATTTGCTTAACGATCCTTTATCTCTACATATTGTCTCTCAATTTCGTTTTGCGTACTTCGCGCACCCGAAGTGACGGCCGTCTCAGATCCCAGAGGGGGGTGTCCGAGCCGGCTCTCGTGTATTCTCAAACCACACTCAGATCATGTTGCTCACGTTTTCCACTTGGTGGGAAGAGGGATCAGGGTCTAAACTTGATTTCAGTGTTGATTTTTTTCAGAGTTGAGGACTGACCTGACCTCTTTTCTGTATCCTGCTGAGCGTCCTTCTTCCGTGTGAAATGTGGGAACTCCCCAGGTTCCGGGGAGATCTCCTTTTCCAAATGCAAGAAGGGCTCAGATTTGATCTACGAAGTAGGGGACTGGCCGTCAAAGCTGTAGAGGGGCTAGTCGGGCAGGCTGGTGGAATTCACCCCTTCTGGTCCATCCCTGGACAATACAGCACCTAGTCCCCAGGGAGTGGGTGCCTGCTGTGTAGCACCCTTGGTCCTGCTGTATGCGGATCAAGCACGAACCGCCAGATCACGCTCAAAATCCCCTTCCCTGTACTACGGGACCTTCGGTGTTGGTCCCCCTTTCTCTAGCAGGGATGACATGTCTCTCTTTTCTGACTAGGAATTTCAGTCTTTGAGCCTGACACCTTTACTATTTTTTCACCAGAAGTTTTAAAGAACTCTTACTAATTCAATGTGAGGTATAGAGGTCTGGAATGCAACAATTCTCCAGGGTACACTCAGAATTCTTGGAGGCGTGGAATCCGATGGGAAGCGTGGCGGGGGTTTGGAGTGGATGGGGGGCGCCGGGAGCAGACAGGAATGGCCTCTGGCCGGGGTGTGGGTTTCTAAGAACCAGGCTCCAGGCAGCCCCGTGTAGGGAACAAGCCTGCACATAGTAACCCGCCACTGGGCGCGCAGCGAAACTGCTTACCTCCGGTTGCCACCTATCACCTGCAGTTGTTAAACATTTCTTTGTCCACCCCAAGGTAATTATGAGAAATGAGTCAACATTTGTGGGAGCTAGCACAGATTAAGCACTTTATAAATGTTCGTTAAGTGAGATAGCTTTTCCCAGCATTGCCTAAACAGAAACTCAACCTGTTGTAAATCCTTCCATAAAGGAAAAAAAAAAAATGTAATGGAAAGGTTCACTCCCTAATTTTTCTCTTCACATTTAAAATTTTCTTTACTAGGATTCCTGAAAAGAGGGCACATCTGTACTCTACTAAGAGATACACAGGATTTTTAAAAATTTTTAATGTTGAGATCTATGACTGATTTATTTTGTAGTCCTATTTTCTTTTTCTTTTTTTTTTTTTAACTAAGATTTTATTTATTTATTTGACAGAGAGGGAGTACTACCAGAGGAAGAAGCAGAGAGAGAGGGAGAAGACGACTCCCTGCTGATCTGGGAGCCCATGCAGGTCTCTATCCCAGGACCTGAGCCAAAGGCAACACTATTTTCAATCACTTCATCTATAAAAGGAGTTTGACTTACTCTCTATGTCATTGGTTGGAAAAGATTCATAAAATGAATGCCTACCTTCAAAGACATTCTAGCCTTGATCAGTATGCTTCTGAGCGGGAAAATGAGGGAAATTAAAATATTAAAAGATTAAAATTTGTCTTAAGCAGTAAGAAGTGAGAAAAAAGTTGTCAATATATTACTAGCTTATGAATAATCAAATCTGTAGTTCTCCTCTTGTTATAAAGTGTTTTGTGGGATTTGATGGGAAACTGGCTCAGAAACCCAAAAATATTCTTTAAAAGTTGAAAGATGTATTTTTTTTACTTGTACTTGTAAAACAGGTTCATTTTATGAAGTTTATAGAATCAGAAAGACATGAAGAGGTTTTTTTTTTCTATAACCTCTTTTGTTTGTTCTACAGAACAAACTTCAAGAAAATCACCAAAAAAATTGCTTTTTCCGTCAATGAACATAGTGGCGAACAAAGAACGGTTTACAGGATTTTGAGTAAATATGAAAGAGGCACTTCCTTTATTTAGTTGCCACATACCATGAGCAAATTACTAAGCCCCTGTACCCACCCCAAGGCATAGTATGTTTGTTTTGTGCAAACTGCAGGAGCTTTTCTAAGAGTTTTACAAATATTGACTCATTCAATCTTCCAAACAACGCTGTGAAGTAGATATGGGACTTTAAGGTTATCTTTATGGGGCTTTAAGTTTACAAATATAGAAACTAAGGTGAAGAGAGATGAAGTAACTTTCCCTACATCACAGGAGGTTGAGCCCGGGACTCAAAGTCTGAGAGAATGGCCTTGAACCATTATGCTATGATAAAAAATGCTCTGTGATAGATGGTTAAGAATTTCTAGAGAGGAGTGATTAAAAAAAAAAAAAAGCTGTTTTTGGACACCTGAGTGACTCAGTCGTTTAAGCATAAGACTCTTGGTTTCTGCTCAGGTCAGGATCTCAGGGTGGTAAGATCAAGGCTCTCGTCGGGCTCTATGTGGTTCGTTGAGCTGGCTTGATTCTTTCCTCCCTTTCCCTCTGCCCTTTCTCTGCCCCATGTATTCACTCTCTGAAAATAAAAATTTAAAAAGGGCACGTGGGCGGCTCAGTTGGTTAAGCAACTGCCTTTGGCTCATGTCATGATATCAGGGTCCTGGAATGGAGTCCCACATTGTCCTTCTCCTGCTCTGTGGGGAGCCTGCTTCTCCCTCTCCCTCTGCCTGCCACTCGCTTGTGCTCTCTTTCTCCCTCTGTCAAAGAAATAAATAAATAAGATCTTAATAATAATAAACAAAAATAATAAAAATTTTAAAAAATAAAAAAACTGTTATTCCCCTAGCTGAATAGTTCAAATTTACTTTTTCTACAATACAGACATAGCAGAATGATCATGCACCTGCATTGTTTCGTTTCACTCTACAGCATAACTCTCCTGTTACAACTCTTTCATACAGCTTGTTTTATTTTCTTAAATTGTCCAATTTTGAGAAACTAGTCACTTGACCATGCAGAAATCTGGCAAACATCTCCTTAACTAAAGGATGAAGGTTAATGGTGTAATGCAGTGTTAAGTGGATATCATGTGCCTCCTGATACAATGTGATGAAAGCGGCACTTCAACTCTTTGGTATTTTCCCCAAAAGTTCATAACTCCAGTCTCACCAGGAAAAAAAAGTCCTTCAAACCCAAATTGAGGAATATCAAATGGCTGACTAGAGCTCTTCAAAAATGTCAAGGTCATGAAAAATAAGGAAAGACTCAGAAAGAGTCACAGTTCAGAGGGAAGTATGAGAGGTGACAGTGAACTTCAGTGTGGTCTCCTGGGTTGGGTCTGGATGAGAAAGAGGACAATGAGGGGAGAAGTCCAGGAGAGTATGGAGTTTTCATTAGTAAGAATGTGCCAATGTTGGTTTCATAGCTTTGGCAATGTCACCTTGCTAAGGTTTGCAAAAGGAGAAACTGAGTAAAGAGTACAGAAAACTACTATTTTTACCAATTTTGTCAATTTAAAATTACTTCAAAACAAAAAAAAAAAGGTGTGTTTTTTTTTAAATTGCTCTTTTAAAATCTATTTAGAGTACCACCCAAATGAAATCAGTGGACATGCGTGCTTTACTGCTAGCTTCCTGGGGGAAAAAAAAGAATTTTTGCTGAGTTCATATTTGCTCAGATTTGTTGAGTTCATATTTGCTCAGATATGAAAAGTGGAAATATCCACTGCTCCAGACTGGACACTTGGTCATGTGTTAGAGGCTTAAAGATTTTGACTTCAGCACTAATCATGCTGCACGAATCTCTCAATTTCATGTAACTAAAGAAAAACAGAAATGATCTCCAGACCCAACCCAAGACTGACGTAAATGAGGGTGTTCAGGGAGATCAGAACTCTTATTTATCTACAGAAGCTGCCAAAAAAATGGGAGTAAATGAAGCATGTCAAGAAGCAGTAACACTTGAAGATTTTGTGGAGTTTAACTTCCAGGAATAACCTCGCATCACTTGTTTTTGGAAATGAAGTGAAAAGGAAAGGGTTGTTTGTTATATTTTCTTTAATATGCCACTTAAATCCATGAAATCTTTCTTAACTGAAATGCAGATATGTTTGTAAGCACAGGACTGCTGTAACCTACTACAATAAACAAGTCCATTCTCTTGTTTGAACATGTGCCTCTCTAAGCCAATTACTTTTGCAACAGTTGAATACCAAGTTATGTGTTGTTGTTTTTGTTGTTTTTTTGTTTTTGTTTTTTTTTTAGATTTTATTTATTTATTTGAGGGAGAGAGAGCTTCAGAGGGGAGAGGGTCAGGGAGAGAAGAAGACTCCACGCTGAACAAGGAGCCCGATGCAGGACTTGATCCTAGGACCTGGGATCATGACCTGAACCAAAGGCCCAACCAACTGAGCCACCCAGGTGCTCCTAAACACCAAGTTTTTAATGAACACTCTTTAAGCCAGGACAAGCAACAACACTTAAGGAATGGAAGAGTCTTTAAGAGACACGCTCTGGTGGTTAAGTTCCATTTGCCCCCTGTAATTATTACAAATCTTTTG